AATTGAATTGAATTGAATTTGGCCTTTAAAATCCATAAAACCCCTGAAACTTAATTTGGACCATTCTTGTTTCTTTGTTAATCTCACTAAATATGGGTTTGATTTCATAAATTTCATAATTTTCCTCCTAATTTTGGATTAAGGAAAAGCAAACCAAACCATCTATACTTGAAATAACAAGCCTTCAGGTGAAAGATAAGAAAAAAAGTCCATCAATTTAAATGAATACCTGTAACTGTGAAATAAATTTTGCCTGCAGATGTTCTATAAATTACTTTTTTAAAGCATCTAGTCTCTCACTGAGGGGCTTTTTAAACGCCATGCTGAGGTTCAGACATCATTTTAAAGCTTTAACCCAAATGGAAACAGCTGAGTCGTATTTCACTTCTTTAAACATTTTGAAGCTTTGCTACAAATGCACATGACAGTTGAGTGAAGTGAAATGTAGAGGCACACACAGTGAAAGCTGCTTTGCATGTACTCTATTGTATGTATTTGTATTCAGGTCAGTGGGGGTTAACATCCCCCCCCAACTTCTACCAACAGACCGTTGCAGGGGATACCACATTGAGCAAAACAGACTGCTTACCCCCTACTGCCTCAAACAAAATGACAAATCGGTGCAGCTCCTTGGAGCTCAGCCTAACATCTGTTTGCTTCCTTGTTTTCTAAATCTTTTGGATACAAATCTTGATGTTTGGACTTAAATATCAGTAGTACACCTATATTTACAAATGTTATACTTTAACCATGGCTGCTGTGGACCATGTCTGAATACATCTGTCAAACTATGCTCAAGTCCATGTCCGACATCTCTTTTTAAAACCTCTGTAAAAGATCATGACTAAACCAGACATGGGCACTTTCCCCTGTCTGAATTGCGAAGTTATTCCTGTTTAACTGCCTGTTGAAAGTGGATACAGCCCAGTAAAAGTTGTCCTGATAGGCCAACCAAAATAAATTATAAGAGAAAAGCAAGTATCCAAGTCCTCCACCATAATTGCTTAGATTAATCAAAATAATGAACTGTTCAACAGCGGGTGTTCAGCTGTGTTTAATGCTCTCAGCGTGTATTTGTTTAATTGGGAATGTTGAAGACAGTTGTTTATTTGTAGAAATGTGGCTCCTTGGATCATTGTTTAAAGAAAAAGTTGGATTTGTTGAGCTAATTCCATGAATTATGTGTCATTCTGCAAGTCAAAAAGAAAACATACAGTTATGTTGAAAAATGTGCACCCACTGTCAATTGTAGAATTATAACTTGTTCAAGTTTATTCACAACCAATACATATAACTGCAGTTTATTTTAAGTTAGGGGGCAGAGTATTTTTACAAACGGCATTGTGCAAATATAACTATAACAATTCATCATTTTTAAAGCTTTATAACCAGATGGTATTTATTACCCTTAAATACTATCTGATGTAACCAATTACTTTCCGAAGTTGAATAATTACTAATCAGTTTGCTTGGAAAGGAAAGAATTAATTAAAAAGTGGCCCCTGAAGGAGCTGCAGACATCCAAAGCTCAGGTTAGAGAATCTGTAAGACAGGACAACTGGAAGTTGTGCAGTTGACAAATTTGGATTAGATTAGATTGGATGAGCTTTATTGATCTCACAGTGGAGAAATTCACTCATCACATATTTGCATAGTAATTAAAGAAGGTGCAAACAAAGAGGAAAAAGGTGCATTAAGAAGAATAAACAATATATATATATATGCAGTATATCCGGGTATATACAGTATATCAAGATAAATAAGGATTAAGGTGCAAGTGTACATGTATTGCACACAATGAAAAACAAAATAAAATAAAAATAAGAAATAAAAAGTAAAAAAAAAAAAATACAAGGTAGTAGCACAGAGGTTTGAGGTGACATATGTACAATCCGGATGGCTTATATACAGGTGGATTTACTTTAACGTTAAACGTTAAAGTGTAGGAGGTAAGTACTAAAGAGTTGTTGTGATAACAATACTAATTGTAATAAATAGATCATTGACAGGTGTTAATATCTTCCTGGGCTCATAGGAAACAGAACTCACACAATGAGCAGTCATAAAAAATTAAATTTGATATTTCCATCTTAACAAGCATTTATGGAAAAAGTTGCCTCTGGCTACCATCTGTTGTTTCGGCACTGAAACCAATTAGTAGTCAGTGACCTAACCACATAACCGCTTCTTCAGCCTTTAAAACGTTTTTATTCTCAACAAGCGTCACTAAATATATTTAGCGGCATGGTAAGCCTGAATATGTGGTACCTAATTA